TTTGCCCCGTCTGTCTCCCAGCAGATGTCTGGGTAGTTTAGGTCCCCCATGACTACCGCCTCTTTAGCTTTTATGGTCTCTGAGAGCTGCCTCAGGAGCCCCGCATCTATTTCTTCCCCTTGATGTGGGGGTCTGTAGCAGACCCCTACCACCAAATCCCTTTCTCCTTGCCCCAAGGTATTGGGCATCCGCCTCATTGCCATCTTGCTTTGTCAAAAACTCTCATGCTCTGTGCTCTTTCGTGCTCGTGCCACTTACTTGCTTCTTTTTTTGAGTTGCACCATGAGTCTGAACCGTTCAACTGACTCTGAGAGTGCAAGTGCTAAGAAAAAACAGTGAAAAAGCGTAACGCTGGAGCTCAAATTGGACGTCCTGAAGCGAATTGAAGCAGGGAACACCAGAATGAGGTCTGTAGGGTGTTGAATTTGGCTGGGTCAACTGTTAGGATCATATTGAAGAATAAAGACAAAATAAAAAAATATGGATGAATTGTAACTCCTTTCAATGCATTGAAACTCGGAAGGAGTAGGGTTGCAATTATGTTAGAAATGGAGAGGCTGTTAAGTGTGGATTGAGGATACAACTCAACGCCGTATGCCCTTGAGTATGCTGCTTATTCAGAAGAAGGCTAAGAGAGTTCGTATGATGATTTACAGAAAAATTTGCCTGAGGGGTCTGCTTCTGAGCCTTTTTATGCAAGTAAGGGGTGGTTCGAAAGATTTAAGAGGCGCAACAGCTTGCATAATGTTTCTGTTCAGGGGGAGGCTGCTAGTGCTGACACCCAAGCAGCTTCCAGCTATAGAAATAAGCTTGTGGAAATTATTGTGCGGGGGGGTGGTATTATACACCTCAGCAAGTCTTCAATGCTGATGAGACAGGCCTCTTCTGGAAGAGGATGCCTCCTAGGACCTACATTTCCAGGGAGGAGTAGTTGATGCCAGGTTTCAAGGTGTCCAAGGATCTACTTAATTTATTGCTTGGTTGTAATGCTGCAGGGGATTTTAAATTGAAACCATTGCTTGTATACCACTCAGAAAACCCCAGGGCTCACAAGGGGTATCTTAAAAATGGTCTGCCAGTCATTTGGAAGTCTAACTAGAAGGCCTGGGTGACAATGTCAGTCTTTCAGAGTTGGTTCAGGGATTATTTTTGTCCTGCAGTTGAGAAATATTGTGCTGAGAACAATCTGTACCACAAGGCACTTCTCATTTTAGACAATGCACCAGGGCATCCTACCACACTTGATGACCTCAGTGATAATGTAAAAGTTGTTTTCCTGCCCCCAGATACCACCTCCATCATACAGCTGATAGACCAGAATGTCATTGCTGCCTTTAAGGCTTATTACTTAAGGAAAACATTTGCCCAGGCAGTCAGGGCTACAGAAGGAGAGGGTACTCCAAGCCTAAATTAATTTTGGAAGGGCTATAATATCTGCAAGGCAATAGATAACATTTTAAGTGCCTGGGATGAAATTGTCTTCCAAAACAATGAATGGTGTCTGGTGAAAGCTTTGGGCAGACTGTGTCCAGGATTCCCAAGAGGTTGAGGAACCAGTGGTGATAATTCAGGACTATATCTTTGAGCTTGGAAGGAAAATTGGATCTGATGAACTTGAACCTGAGGACATTCAGGAGTTGATCGATTCCAACAGGGAGGAATTGAGCAATGAGGACCTCATCAAATAGAGCAGCAGCGAAGCCATGGAGAGGAGGAAGATGCTGAGGAAGATGTTCAACAGCAAGGGCTTTAACCAGCAAAGGCATGGCTTGAAGCTTTCAAACATCTTGAAGCTTTTATTTCCTACTTTGATGAGAATGACCCTGAGAAATGCAGTGCAGTTATGCAATTGCAAGAGGAGTTAGTTAACAATGAAGTCAATTGTTACAGGCTGCTTTACGATGAAAAGAAGCTGCCAAAGTGCAGCTATCAATGGATTCCTCCTTCAGGAAGTGCACAACTCTGGTTTCAAGCTCTGCAGCCAGCCCTCAAAAAAATCCTCAGTTAAGCACTTCAAAATTCCCTGAAACTGACACTAACCTTGACAGCTCTGATTCTGAGTGTTGAAGGAAGCTGAAAGAGCATCTGTGTATACAGTTCATTACTTAATTTTGTAATCTTATACATTATTTCAAAGTTCAAAGTGTTAAAGTATTTACATACATTTAGATTTTGAATTAATTGATTTTATAGTACCTAGTGGGGGATTTCAGCAATTTTATAGTACAAGTGGGGAGCTTCAGGAATGAATCATATCTACTTAGATTCATTTCTATGGGAAAATTGGTTTCACTTAACGCTGTTTCACTTAGTGCTCTGTTTTTCCGGAAGCAATTAAGGGTGCTAAGTGGGGTTTGCCTGTACTTCCATTCACTTAGCAGCTACATCAATGAAGTACGTGTTGCTGATTGTATGTCCCCCTCCCACCAATTTAGGTTTTAAATGTGGCTTCAAGTTGTATTAGAACTTAATGTTTGATTTAACCGAAGTAAAAAATCAGTAAATGCATTCTGGTTACTATTAAGCTTTGCAAAATGTTAGCCATCTGTGTAAAAATCAGAGTTCCGGAGCTTTTTCTCTTCCCTTACATAAGATACCTAACAGATTAGATGCATTTTTAAAATATTTTTTTAAAAGAGACTGAAATGACCCAGAATTCAATATTAGCTAATACAACAGAACTCAGCCCTTTTACTGAAGGTCTAAGTAGACTTTGAAATACATCTGAGAATTGCTTACTGTGAAATCATAGCATCATGGAAATTTAGGGTTGGAAGGGACTTCAGGAGGCCTAGTCTGACCCCCTGCTTAAAGCAGGACTATCACCAGCTAGATCATTTCAGCAAAGGCTTTGTCTAGTCAGGTCTTAAAAACCTCCAAGGATGGAGATTCCACCTCTCTGGGTAACCTGTTCCAGTGCTTTACTACCCTTCTAGTGAGAGAGATTTTCCTGATATCTAACCTAAACTGCCCTTGCTACAACTTGAGACTGTTGCTCCTTGTTCTATCATCTGCCATCACTGAGAGCAGTCTAGCTCCATCCTCTTTGGAACCTACTTCAGGTAGTTGAAGGCTGCTATTAAATCCCCTCCCAGTTTTCTCCTCCCCAGACTCAATAAGACCAGTTCCCTCAGCCTCTCCTCAGAAGTCATATCCCCCTTCACCATTTTCATTGCCTTCCACTGGACTTTGTTCAATCTGTCTTCATCCATTCTGTAGTGGGGGGCCTACAGAAAAGATGGTTTGGTTCAAATGAACCAAAGGGAGAGGGAAGTGATATTGGGGGCCTTTTGTCCCCAGTTCTCTGCTTGCAGTGCCATAAACTTAAAATTGTTAGTTGGCTTACTTTCATTTGTCACTGCTGAAAGAAGACAAAGAAAGAAGTAGCTTCATAGAGTAAAGACTGAACCCCCAGGATTTTAAATTTTATTCAGACACAAAGTTTCATGTGCTTTACAGCAGTGACCTGGGCTGGATCTGGCCAGTGGTCCTGATCTGGCACCTGGGGCAGTCACCTGTGGAGCAAGACTGGGAGAGGGAGATGGAATTTAACAGGGCCCCAACCTGACCCCCTAGGGAGAAGTGGGGCATGGCCCATTCCCAACCCAGCTGTGAGGGGGGAGGGAGTATGGCCCAGCCCTGATCCAGCCATGGTTGGGGCAGGTGTGGCCTAGCTCTGCTATGCTGCACAGGGCTTGGAGCATGTGGTACTGATTGCCATTGCTTCCCTGCCACCAAGTTTCCCAGCCCATGGGGAGCCATGCGGGCCAGATTCCAAGGCTCTGTGGGTTGCATTTGGCCTGCGGCCTGGGGGTTGAGCACCCCTGCTTTACAAAATATTGAGCAGTAATAGGCTGGCTGTGAGAAGTGCTGCTGCATTCTATACTAGCCTCAGTTTCTGGTTTTCAAATGTGGCCCCATATACAGTACTCAGTCTGTAGACAGACTGGGGTAGGTAAAAGTATAATTTGTGAATTCTGCCATTGGAAGTAATAGCATCCTGACTTCCTATCATATCATAGGTGGAAAAGAAACTGGAAATTATGCTTCCTGTACCTTTTAGAGTGAGAATCCCACATAACCTTGAGGCAACAAATAACAAACCATACATAAAGCTAAGGATAAAAGAGGGAGCGAATGGACCCTATCCTTTCCCCCAATTTGCTGCCATCACCAGTTTTCTCCAGATTGATCTGTAGCTATTGCATCTTTCTCCAGTGGAGCTTTAAACCAGATCTGTCCAACTAGTGGGCCACAGGGTTAATATGCAGCCCTCGGGCTCTTCCCCTCTCCCCACTTCTCCCTCAGTCATTCTAGCTGTAATAGCAGCCAGAATTTCCAGGCTCCCACTTCCCGTCTCTGGGTTCTGCTTCCTGCCTTATCCCAGGGGGTGGGCAGTGCAGGGAGTTGAGGGTGAGCCTGGGGCTGTGTAGGAAATGATGCCAGTGTGTTGTAGTGGAGGGGTGGGAGAATTCTGCTCCCACACCGATTTGAAAGCATAGTGCAGCAGTGGGTGGGGAGGAACATCCTCCTGCTTTGCCTGGTGTGGCTCCCAGGGGCATAGAAGTTGGATAGCCTTGTTATGAACTGTTAGATGCTGTGAGAACTAGTTGACTGCCTCCCAAGTCTGATGAAACAAGCATAGGCTGACTCAGAGTGGTGGGTTTCAAATGAAACCAACTCCCTTAAGTTTTGCCTACATATTATGGTAATGTTTGCTTGTAGAATCCCTTACAAGAGAGCCCTCTTGGGATTCTAACAATACCACTGTGTCATCTTGGAGAGAAGGAGGAAGCCTTTTCCTTGCAGTTTCAAAACCTGCTGGGGTCAAAATTTGTAGATGTATTGATTTATTTACTTTAGGTAGGGCTAGCTGTACAATGATCTATTTTTCAAACAACTCCTGTGTAATACATACAGATAATCTGAATGCTGGATATAAACCTTACTAGGTTATGGATATAGACATTATGAAATAGTAATGCAGTTTCTCTTTGCAGGTGGTTTTGATGACAACTCTCCACTGAGCTCTGTTGAACGGTTCGATCCTCGCAGTAACCAGTGGGAATATGTTGCAGAGCTTACAACCCCCAGGGGTGGAGTTGGTATAGCAACGCTGATGGGTAAAATTTTTGCAGTTGGTGGTCATAACGGCAATGCATACCTGAACACAGTGGAAGCTTTTGATCCACTGGTGAACAGGTACTTTTAAAGTTTTGCTGTCTTAATTTAATATTGAGCAATATTGCTCCCATGCCTACAGTGTCAAAAAAGTGACCCACCCATATTTTTATTTACCAGTGTATTTATCATCTCTCCCATTCCTTGCCCTCACCCATGTAACTCAGACTGTAGGAAGTTTTTCTATGAAGAGCCCTATAAATAAAACTCATTCACATAATACAAAGTAAGACAATAGAGCTAGGTTGAATTAATCTGTTTCATTCAATCTCTTTTTAAAAATAAAATATCTATCATAGAGAACTTGGAATAAGATAGTTATGACTAGCAGAGAAACCTTGCTGATTCCACCTCAATTAGTCTCTGATCTTGAAACGTTAGTGATATGTCTGCAGGAAAGAGGAAGATACTTAGCAGTCATCTTCCAAAGACAGGAGTGCAGGCAAGTTTTCAAATCTTGAATCTATTAAAATACTGTAAATAAGAGTTGTGAGAAGATGTAGGTTAAATTAAGTGGTAAAATATGCATAACGTGCTTAAATATAAGGAACAGGATCTTTTCAGTGTTTCTGCAATGAAGGAATCTTTCTTAAAACACACAAATTTTTCCAGTTTTAATGCTAACATTGCTATTAGTTTTCCCCCCTACAGTACTCTTTGCTTGTAATTTTTTTTTAACCATTTCTCTCTAGGTGGGAGCTTGTGGGATCTGTCTCTCACTGCAGAGCTGGGGCAGGCGTCGCTGTGTGTTCTTGTCTTTGTAGCCAGATCCGAGATGTGGGTCAAGGATCCAACAATGTGGTTGACTGCATGTGAACAAGTCTCTTGGATTTCTCCAGAATTCAAGTGGAAAACTGAAAATTGCAGTATGGAGGGACATGACCTCAGCAGTGCTGCTCTGAGGTTTTTAAACCTACTGCTACATTATAAGGTAGACAAAAACCCTGAAAGCATCTTGCATGTGATAATGCAAGTTATGGACAGCATTCTGAATCTTTTGAGTTAAAATAGTCTGGGCAGATATGGAATAAGGTCTAGCTTCTACTTTAAAAAATAACCAGGGATGTGTTTTCAAGTTTCCAAAAGTACAGATATGCTTGAGACCTTTGTTCTAGACTGATAATTAAACAATAAAAGGGGATAAATTGTAGCGAAGCGAATGTGCTTTGCATTGTTGACTTTGACAGCACATCCCACCTAAATGTGTTTCTTAGGCTGGTATAAATTCTAGATGTACATTAAAAATGACACCTTGGTGTTAATCAGAATTCAGTCTTAAAGAATTGCTAGTTCTACAGCATTTTACCAATATGAGTAAAGCTTTTGGTTGGTCTAAAGTATATGCATCTCATTTATACATAAAAAAGTATACAGGTTAATTGCCAGAACTTTAAGACTGTGGGTATTCAACCCACATTTAGTCTATTTGTGGTAGAGCTGAGGTCCAGAGTACTGCTTGGTCTGTGTGGAGTTTAGAACATTCTTCCTCATGTCTAAAGTGTCCCCTGTAGAAAAGTTAAGTGTTATAACAGAAAGCATCCCTGAGGCTTCCTGTGTACTTTTCTTCTATTTTTAGAATAAGGTCTGTCTAGACATGCACAACTTACATGGTCTCTTGGAGCTTTTACATTTGATTGATTTTATGGAAACAGGAATACCATTGTTGGAAGACGTCACCATGTCTAAATGTTATCCAGCTGAAATCTATCTTCCAACGTAACAAAGTGGCTAACATTTTCAGTTTTTCAATTCCAGCAACAACTTAGTGGCGGTGAGGCTGCTGGTTCTTTATTAAAGAGCTCAGTTGTTAAGTATTCAGACAACCAAGCAGCAAATCTTCAAATGAAAAATCCTTGATCAAGTTTTCCAGTGGTTTCTAAACCAAAGAAAATAAGCAGAAAAATGATCTGGAGTCTAACAGTGTTGTTATTGCCAAAGATGTGTACAGACACTTGCTGATTTGATCTATTTTTGAATTGGAACATAACTGTCCTGCCATAATATCTATTGCCACATTGAAAGATGTGTCCTAATCCTGATTTAAGCTACTAACGAGTTGTAGTTACTTATGCACATAGTGTATATTATTTAATTGCCACTTCTAACCTGAATCTCTTCTATGTATTACCTCAACCTTTACCTAGTTGTATGATGTGATTTTTTTTTTTTTGGGGGGGGTGCAGCTAGGAAGTTCTCTGAAATCTTCCAGCTTGTATATGTTCACAATTTTCTTAGTGGCATGTAGCACTACCACTGTTCAGCCCTCTCTATTGTTGCACTAAAGTAATTAAAGATGTGGGTGTGAACAGTTTACAATAATTGGCGAGAATATTCTGGCCTCTGCTCCTAATGTATTGAACACACAAGTAAAACTACTTTTACAATAAAACGCCCAAAGAGGCAGTCTTACGTAGTCCTTCCAAATGGTACATGAAGACTTGCATGGCCAGGCATTGTCCGAGCATTAGGGTGCAATTAGGTGTTGTTCCTTTTCATGCTCATTACTCTCTAAACTAAGTTCTCTTCTGAGTTTTTATATATTCTTTTACAGTTGTCTTCTATGTCTCTCATGTGGTCAGACCACAAATTCTGACTAATCACCTTTTACAGCAGTCATCTTCCTGTTAGGCTGCTGTCTGCATTCTGTTTTCTCTGACTGTGAGCACACATCCTCTCAATATTCTTACTGACATGGATTATAAAGAGGTCACCCTAAACTATGAAACGCTTGCTATTGCTTTCAGTTAACAGCATTAGTTATGCCAAGTCACAAAATGGCATTACTTATGATAAGCATTTTGCTAAGGTTGTTTCAGGCCTACACTATCCTATTGATTAGTTGGGTGCAGTACAGTATTTGTCTTTGAATTGGCCTTAGTTTTACAATAGGTATCTTGACAGGACAGCTTTGTTGAAATTTCATTTGCCTTGACCTTGCCTTAAGTTGCCTTCCTTCTAGCTTCATTTGTATATTTAAATGTGGTTCATTGGAATATTTTAATTATTCAATGTTTACCCTATTATAGCCACCACAGATGTTAAACATTTGGTAGGTACTATATATGGAATTAATGCTGATATTTATAAGAATATCATGCATATTCTTAGAGGGAAAGATGACTTGAAATTGAAACCAGCAGTAGAGTTGAGAAACTGTAAGGCAAGGCAACATTGCACTGTACAGAGAGCGACTATTTTATACACTGCTTGTATAACTGATGAGCAGTTTTTGGCATAGACCACTACAAGTTCACATGCCTGAATTTTCCTGAAGAGACCAGCAGTTGACTGAAATTTTACATGACCAAAGTTTGACATTAAATAATTGTTAGAAGGGATGAGGGAGCAGTGTATAGGAACAAATATTCTTCAGCTCCCTCTGTGCAAAAATGAAGTTTATTTCCTACCGATGGGGACTCTTTACAATCTTGTACCATCTATACTTTTCCCAGAGCCTGATGAAGGGACTTGGATCCCAAAAGCTTGCAGAAAAGGACAGTTTTCTTGCCATTTTCCAGTTGGTCTAATAAAAGGTATCATTTTGGAACCAAGAGTTCTTGTTTTTTGTGGGTGAATCTGAAATTCAGTATGATTGTAGGGAGAATATCTTCATCACAAATCTCAAAGCACACTGTTTCTGTACTGCGCTGCCATGTTTTAAAACTTGTATTTCAAATTGCTAGTGATTCATGATATTCAGGCAACAAAGTGAAGAATGGATTCTTGTAAATAAATGTGGAAGTTGCAATAAGAACATTTGTATTGCAAGATGCTCTTTCAGTGCAACAGGTTTGCTACAATAGGGATAGATATCTGAACTGCAAACACTAATTTGCTATTATACTATATGTTACTTACATTTTAGAAAGTAGCCTTTTTTGTCTTGTAGCCTGCATTACAGGCACTGTCGCTGGCCAAGAAGAGCTGTAGAGAGTACAGCCTTCAGCATCCTTAAGTGCTTGCATGAATTTGAACTTGGAAGAAGGGTGGCTAACATGGCCTCACGTTATCTGTAGGCCTTCTCCATCTTCCTTTTACAGTGGGGGTGGGTGGGAGGAGTGCTGGTGTCCTCCAAGTTCTAGTGCTGCTGTGATCAGTTGCCAACATACCCCTTATCTTCTAGCAAAGGTAGCTAACTCCCCTCTTGCAGAGGCTGGATTAGGCTTTGGAATTTCATTTTTTAGACTTGAACATCCTCTCTCCTTTTTGCTTTGTTTTAGGTGTCTGGGTTCAAGCAGCCCAGTATGACTGGCTTTTCAATTTTCATCCTCCTCCAGCTATTGGTATCCCATTGCTTGCAGCCCCTAGGCCAAACTCAGTGTTTACTAAACGTGCCTGTATAAGAAAAGAAACAGCTTTTACTGGAAATGCAAGAAAGTCCACAAAATATGGGAACAGATTTCTCAGTCAAATGATGCTGAGCTTAAGAAAGCTACAGTAAGACTGTTTTAGGTGATGGCAAAGCAAATTATTAGTTTGCTGCATATGTATTTTATGGGGTTTTATAGCATAGAAGCCATCTACCCTTTTACTTAATTAGGGAAGGAATTTGCTTCATTCTTGAGAAACTGCATGGCAAGAAGCTCAAACCTAAAGGGGAAGAAGGTAATGAGAGCATTTGATGGCAATATTGTATTTAAAAGTACCAAGGAGATTTCTGAATATGGGGACACTGTTGTGTGGCAGGTTCTGGGTCTTTTTCATTCTAGGCCAGTCTCATTCCAGAATGGCAATTAATAAACAGCTACTGGTCAACAGTACTTTAAGGGAAGCAGTCATGAAGAAAACATTGTGGACTTAACTTGTATTCCATAATGACAGCTCTGTTTATATGCAAGTCTTACACTTGAATGTTAATACATTGTCATGTAGAGGTAGACTTTTTCGTTGTACTGATTTAGGCAAAGGCTTCAGTACAGACACAATAACAACAATGAAAGCAGCTGCTGTTCAGGGAATTCATAGAAGGTACACCAACACGCACACAGGCTTGTTTAAGCGGCTTGGGCGTGGGGAGGATTTGCTGGTACAGACAAATCTACAGCTTCAGTACAGGTACTGAAAATAAGAGCGGAGCAAGTCTCAGAATGAGAAAAGCAAGCATTTACTGGGACCATGAAAGTACCACCCGAGTGTAATGACTTACCCACATAAAGGCTATATGTTGCATTTACAGCGGGACTTCACCAAGCTCATGTAAAAGTCTGTGGAAAAACATTTCTGTCTTGTGTTGGAGGTGGTGGTGTTCTTTGCAGTCTAACAGAATGATACAAAACTGACAGACATTTAAACTAAACAGGAAGACAACACAATAATTCTGTGGATCTTGAAACAGGTTTTCTAAATGATTAGGTAGCCATCTAGTGGTCTAGAACTTAATATTGTTCTACATAGTTGACTTGTGTTTCTTATTGTATTAGTCCTTTGAAACTTAAGGGTGGATAACAATCAAACTGATTTTTTTTAATGTTGTAATTTAAACAATAACTTACGTTAACATCTAAACATATTCTAATTATTAATTGAAAAAACAAGCAGTGCATTTTGTAACTGAAATTCTAATCAAGGGCAAGCCATTATTACATTGGAGCTTGTTAAGCATAAAGTAACTATTTTGAACCAGTTATCCCAGACTTTTAGTTTCTTCTGCAAGGGTAGAGTCAGCATTTTTCTCTTTTCAGTTTATTCAAATAATAGTTCATTGAAAAGTGAGAGAGATTGGGTGTCAAAAAAGCAAGGAAGTTTATTTCTCCCCTCCCAATCCACAGTTAAAAATAAGAGTTGAGAAGATGATACGTCAGTTTTAAAATTATGCAAGACGAGATGACTAGAAACAACCAGTTCGGTTCACATACTTCCTTTAATAAACCAGTTAAGTGCCAAACATGTTTTGATACCAGCTAGCTTGCGGTTGTTTTATTTAATAGAATTTTTAAAATGCTGCTTTTATGCATCCAAATGCACCTGGACATAAATCTCAAACATCTAGGAAAGTCATGCATCAATTTTTTTATTATAATAAAAATGTAAAAATTAAGACTCTAAATATGTACTGATCAAATGCATCCACCTACGTAAGAAAAAGTTCCAAATTACATTAATGGATGAGAATCAGTCTTTGTTTGGAAAAATAATGGAAGTAAAAATATAAAACAAGATTAGAACAAACTTGAGTGAGTAAACAGGAATATGCATTTTAAAGAATTTAAGACAAAAATGGCAATATAAATCAATCCACACTGATATTTTAAAATTTAAGGTTTGAGTTGCACCAGATCTTTAAAGTTTTCCGAGAAAGCAAGCTCTACTGGTAGTATATCCCAAATGTTAAGATGAGCAAGTGAAGTTGCCTCTAAACCATGAAACAAGAGTTAGAAAAGTCCCACTACAGTTGTGCTCAATTGGTTGGCCCTATGGGCCCGATAAGTAGCACAGGGCCAGTCCACAGGCTGGACTGGCACCTGTGCACCACCCCAATTGGTCCTCTGCATTTCAGCTAGTGTGTAAAGGTCCCCCTGTGTCTAGAAATTTGACAGCAGGAGAGCAGCAAATAGCGGCTGCTTTTCCCATAGCCAAATTTGATGGCTTTGTGGGCTGGACCTAGCCTGTGGGTCAAGCACCTAGTTCAGCACCAAAGCCAGGGTCCTTGCAAAAAACAAGCATTAAAAGGTGGCTGGAGGTAGAAGGGGGAACTGCCTAACAACAAACAAAAATTAAACTTAAAAGGGGCAAATTTTTATCAAGCAGCACTTAAAGCAGGGGCTTTAAGAATTTGAGCAGCCACATGGGTGGAAGGCAGCCAGCAGCTGGAGCCAGAGCCCTACAGGCTCGGGCAGGAGCTGCCCAGCTGAAGCTTCTTCTTGTCTGAGTACAAAAGGTGACCAAATGCTCAGCCCACATGCCAGACCAATGCAGAACATGAGAGCAGGTCATGTTCAGCGTGTGAAGAGCTCATGATCATGAGGCTGACCAGCTCGTGATCAGACAGCCTTAACAAATCAGGAGCTGCGGGAGAAGCGTGCCTGCCTGGCCAGCAGACACACTCTCTTAACTGTAAATCAGCAGCCTCCTCTGATTGGCTGAAGAGTTTATAAAAGGGACAGCGTGCTAAAGCGCAGGGTCCCGGGTTCCACACAAGCCCTCGGATAGGACTGATCACCCTGCCCAGGAATCCGCGTCCCCATGGACGAATAGTCATACGAATAGTCACACCCTGGCTATTATTTCACCGAACAGTGAGCTCTCCATCCGCACGTACATCGGAAAAAGCAATTGCTATCTCCTACCTGTCATCTTTAACTACTGCTTCACCACTGTCGTTTTGTTGTGTAACCACTGTTGGAATCTTATTGTAAGTAAACGTTAAGTTCAATTTTACTATCTTCCAACTGAGTCAGTGTCCCTTTCATCCCCGGCCTGTCCATAAGGCGGGTTGGTCATCCACCCGCCCCCCGGTTCAACTGGTAAACCGCCTGGTGAGTGCTGCGGTTACTAACACTTCTATGCCAGGAGCAGTGCACCAGGGGCAGAAGCAGAAGGAGCAGCCACTGGTGGAGGTGAGAGGAGCTGAGCAGTACCCAGGTGTCTGCAGCTGCACCAAGAGCAGCCTTGTCAGTAAGCTGTGTGCACTGGCCGGGGCCAGGCTGGCAGGCATGGGCAAGAGTGCAGTGCAGGCTGCCCTGAGTGAGGCTCAGCTACATGCAGAGTGCTGTGGGGACAGCCATGGACTGCACCACCTGGATGAGCCCTGCTGCACATGCCCCGTCTCCTCCCCTCACCTCCAGCCAGATCCTGGAACCTAGTGCCTAGGCAGACTCCCCCCAACTCCGTCACAGAGCAGGGGTGTATAGGGAACAGATAAAAGCTCTGTCACTTCCCTGTGACCCTGCCCTGTCTCAACAGCCCATCCTGCTCCTGAACAACACTTCCTGCCTGCCTGTAGCCACATCCCACATAGGAATTTTTGGCTAGTTGTTGCAGTGGGGGAGTTTCATAGTTGGTAGGGTCAAAAGGGACCGACCCCCTGCCATGGCAGGAAAAAGTACTGGGGTCAAATGACCCCAGCAAGGTGTTCGTCTAACCTCCTCTTAAAGACCCCCCAGGGTAGGAGCCAGCACCACTTCTCTCGGAAGTTGGTTCCAGATCCTAGCTGCCCTGAGAGTGAAGTAATGCCTCCTGATGTCTAGCCTGAATCTACCCTCTGCCAGCTTGTGACCATTATTTCTAGTCACTCCTGGTAGTGCTCGGGGGAACAGGGACTCCCCCAATGCCTGCTAGTCCCCTCGGACTAGTTTGTAACAGGCCACTAGATCCCCACCTCAGCCTTCTCTGGCGGAGGCTGAACAGGTTCAGGTCCCTTAGCCTCTCCTCATAGGGCCTGCCCTGCTGTCCCCTGATCATGTGAGTGGCCCTCCGCTGGACCCGCTCCAAGTTGTCCACACCCCTCCTGAAGTGCGGCGCCGAAAGGGAGTTCCCCAGCCTGTAGTATGCTGCTGGTTCTTCCTCCCCAGGTGCAGTACCCTCAACTTGTCAGTGTTGAACCCCATCCTGTTCTCATCCTCCCACTCCTGTAACCTGTCTAGGTCCAATTGCAGCCTATTCCTCCCTTCTAGCATGACCACTTCCCCCCACATCTTAGTGTCGTCAGCAGATTTGAACAGGGTGCTTTTTACCCCCTCGTCCAAGTCGCTGAGGAAGATGTTGAACAGCGCAGGTCCAAGGACCGAGCCCTGGGGGACCCCACTGCCCACATCCCTCCAGGTCAAAAATGACCCATCCACCACCACTCTCTGGGTGCAG